TCTCCTCCCTCCCCACCCCTCTCTCCCCGTCCTCCCCCTGTCCCCCACTCTCCTCCCTCCCGTCCCCCCACTCTCCTCCTTCCCCCCACCCTCTCTCCCCATCCTCCCCCCGTCCTGTCTCCTCCCTCCCCAATCTCTCTCCCCATCCCATCCTGTCTCCTCCCTCCCCCACCCGCTCTCCCCGTGAGCAGACCTTGAGGTGGTAGATGTTCTCCTCCGTGTCCAGGTCCACGCGCTGCGCTTTCCTGTTGATGGACATGACGGCCAGACGGACGTCGACGGAGCCGTGCAGTTTGCCCTTGAGGACCTGGAAGGGGCGGGGTTGCAGGCCCGGGTCAGCCGGGGCGCGAACGGGCACTGGGCAGCGCCCGAGTGCGCAGGATTCCACCCCCGCGTCTCAGTGCTCCGCCCCGCCCACCTCGCCCCACCTGGATCGGGGGAAGAACGGTCCCCAGTGAGAGACCCCTTCCTAACTGGCCCCACTTGGGGCGGGGGGATGGGGGTGAAATGGGGGCATGATCTATAGGGTTCCCCCTAAACACAGAGTCGTTGCAAGCCAGCTCCAGCACCCTCACCCCCAGGCAGACTGATCCAGAGGCCAGGACGGGCATCCAGCCCTGTGCCATACTCACATCCTGGCGCGTGGTGGCGTATTTCAGGATCCCCTCCTCCAGCAGGAAGTATCTCTGCGGGAGGAAGAGGAGAAGGAAATGAGGCTGAAGGAGGGAGGGAAGGGCGGGGACGCCAGGGGGCAGAGGGCAGCATGATCTGCCCCCAGGAGCCCAGCTCACGCGCTGGATTCAAGGCAGCTAGAGGATGCCAAAGCACCTTCCAAACGACATCCCAGAATCGCTTCCCCCAGCACTGAAATGCAGCTGCCTCTGGGGTGGAGCACAGGACCCGATTAACAGCCACACTGCCCACGGCCAGCTCACAGAGCCGCAAAATGCAGCCAGGCCTGGGCTGGAAGCTATTGAACAGCGCGTGGCAGTTTAGGACAGGAAGTGAAGAAGAATTGTGAAGCTGCAGGGGGAAATCCCCTGGGGACAGAATGTAACCACCCAAGCTGGGAGCTGACCAAGGAAACCAGGGTCAACCAACGCCCCAGCGTTAGCCAGATGCCCTTCATCCCTGGGCTCTGTGACGACGCAGGCAGGGCCTTGCGGGGGCATTCGATCAGCGCCGGCGTGGGGAAGAGCGCCCCCTGCTGGGGCAACGCCCTGAGTTTCCCTTCACGGTCCCCCAGCTGAGGGCACAGCCCAGGACGAGGCGGCTGGGGATTGAGAGCTTGCCCCAGTCCCCTGCCCCACGAGGGGTCGCCCCCAGCTGCACTGCAAGGAGGCCGTGATGCGACAGCGGGGTGCCGGGTTGCGGAAGGGGGGTGGTTTTCTATCCCCCCCTCCTTCTCCTTCTCACCTTATGCCAGCCCTTCAGGGGCCACTTCCTCTTCTTCAGCAAGTAGCCCTCGTGCCGCTCCAGCTCCTGACCGGGCCCGGTCCTGCTCCGGGGCTCGTCCACCACCTCCCAGCACTCAGAGCCCTGCAGCACACGGGTGGGGGGGGGGTCTGATTAGGAACGGACAGGCCCCAACGCTGCCCCCCCCAGGCGCCGAGGGAGGTAACAAGTCATATAGTAATCCCTGCGCTGCTCCCTCAGTGCCCCTGGGCCACGCGTTCCTTGGCGTGACCGGGCTGACTGACCATGATCTCTCTGTCTCACACACGCCACCGAGGGCTGTGGGGGTACCAGCGCCGATCGGCACTAGGAAATGGCCGTACCCTACTGCAGGTCGGGATAACAGGGGGCTGGGGGCCCCATCAGACCTCTTTCCGGTCCCTGCCTTTGCTCCAGTTTAAAGCAACATGCGCCCCAGAGAACATCCTTGGCTCCCAAGTCACTGATGGGCAGAGTCAGGCCTCCTCGCTGGCTGGCCCCACTTTTGCCCCGCAGGGCACCTGGTTCTGGGGCGAGATCTCCAGCGTCCTCTTTCCCGCCCCCCTCCTGAGTCTCCCCAGAGAGGAGCCTCCCCCGGCCCAGCTCTGGTCCCGGGGGCAGGGGAAGGTCTGCTAGGAGCGTCGGCGAGAGGGAGGGGAGATGCCGGACCTGGTGAGCGCTGCTGTGCTTGGAAGACACGGTGCTGTTGGACCTGGACGGCACCCTCCGGGGGGAGGCCAGCTCCTTCTCGTGACTGCCCATGGCCGGGGGCTCCCTCTTGTGAACGGAACGGCCCTCGGTGTCAGGCCACCGCCTTCATCTCCAGCTCGGAGCCCCCCTGCGGGGAGAGAAACCAAAACCCGGCTTGTTACTGCCTGAGAGCGGTGCTGCCGCGGCGACATTGTGACCCGCTTCCTGGAGCTGCAGCTCTCATGAGAACGACAGGCAGGTTCTAGGTTGGGGGCAGACATCTCGATCCCAACCCGCAGCCCCTGCTATTCCAGCGCTCGAACCCGGCCCAGCTCTACCGATGCTCCTCACTCCCGACCCGCAGCCCCTGCTATTCCAGCCCTCGAACCCGGCCCAGCTCTACCGATGCTCCTCACTCCCGACCCGCAGCCCCTGCTATTCCAGCGCTCAAACCCGGCCCAGCTCTACCGATGCTCCTCACTCCCGACCCGCAGCCCCTGCTATTCCAGCGCTCGAACCCGGCCCAGCTCTACCGATGCTCCTCACTCCCGACCCGCAGCCAGCCCCTGCTATTCCAGCCCTCGAACCCGGCCCAGCTCTACCGATGCGCCTCACTCCCGACCCGCAGCCCCCTTCGGTTCCAGTCCAGTTCTGGAATTTGGCCTGGACACTGGAGCTAACACCCTTGCACTTACAAGAAGGGTGACGGGATCTTTAACACATCCACGGACAAGGGGCTATTTGCAAATTTCTCACCCTGCTCGCTTAGGGCTCCGTGGCGTGGAAGCTAAAGCAGATGCAGGATCTCGCCTTCAGAGTTTAGCCAGCCAGGGGCAGACCCCGCGGGGTGCCTTCCCTTCTGCCTCGCTCTCATTTTGCAAAGAGGTGAGAACTCTGGACCTCTGGCCAGGAAGCACGTACCCCGCTGCACACAGACCTTTACCTTGCACGTCCCGCCCGAACAACCATCACCCCTACAGCCCCTGGGACTTTTATTTTGCAAGCAGGAGCCTTTCCAAGGCTGGCTTCGGGCTAAAAGCCAGCTTATTCCCATGGAGACCAGAGATCCAGACAGTACTTGCTATGGGCCATGTGGCCAAGCCAGCTCTGATCCGCTCAGCTCAGGGTTACGTGCAGTGCAGTGTCACCTGACTGCACTCGTGGGGCCAGACCCCCAGCCGGGGTAAATCAGAACAGTTCCACGGTGGCAGATTTACACTCGCTGAGGATCCGGCCCTTTGGCTTTTCCGTTTTGTTCCGAAATGCAAGCGAGAGCTCCGAGGGGCTTCGCGCTCCGTTGGAACGTCGGATCACAGGAGCTGGACCCTTTCGGTCCCGTCTAGGCCAGGGCAGGCTCGGTCCTGACAACACTCCTGCCCCTCTGGCCTGTCGAGCTTTAAGGGTCCCTGGGCACAAAGCTTCCCCCACAACCCTAAGAGATCTCACCGCGATGCATAAGGCTTGAGAAGCTGCATAGAATCATAGAATCATAGAATATCAGAGTTGGAAGGGACCTCAAGAGGTCATCTAGTCCAACCCCCTGCTCAAAGCAGGACCAATTCCCAGCTAAATCATCCCAGCCAGGGCTTTGTCAAGCCGGGCCTTAAAAACCTCCAAGGAAGGAGACTCCACCACCTCCCTAGGTAATGCATTCCAGTGTTTCACCACCCTCCTAGTGAAATAGTGTTTCCTGATATCCAACCTGGACCTCCCCCACTGCAACTTGAGACCATTGCTCCTTGTTCTGAAGCTTGGCACACCGTGTGTAAGCTGCAGTTGAGCAAAGGAACCCCTGGGCTGGGGGAGCTGCCTCCGGGGGAGATGCCGATAGCTTATGGACGTGTCTCCATGATAGGAGGCATGGAGCGGAAGTGCCAGAACTGGAGGCTCGTCTAACTGTGGGGAATACCCAGCAGGCCCTGGGGCCCATGGTGATGCACAAAGCTCTGCAAACATCCTGGCGCAAAGGAAAGACAGTCAGAATAGCGAGAGGCCAACAGGGATCCATCAGGAACTCTTTAGTGACCTGGAAATCAAAAAGGGAACCCTACAAAAGGGTAGGATCAACTTCTATCCTCTCCTCTTGAGTAGGATCTACAGCAGGGGTCGGCAACCTTTCAGACGTGGTGCGCCGAGTCTTCGTTTATTCACTCTAATTTAAGGGTTCGCGGGCCAGTCACACATTTTAACGTTTTTAGAAGGTCTCTTTCTCTAAGTCTATAATATATAACTAAACTATGGTTGTATGTAAAGTAAATAAGGTTTTTAAAATGTTTAAGAAGCTTCATTGAAAATTAAATTAAAATGCAGAGCCCCCCGGACCGGTGGCCAGGACCCGGGCAGTGTGAGTGCCACTGCAAATCAGCTCACGTGCCGCCTTCGGCACGCGTGCCATAGGTTGCCTACCCCGATCTACAGCCTAGTAGGATGTGGACAAATCGCTAAGGATGAATATAAACTAATGGCACAAGCATGGAGGCACAACAGCAAAAAGGCAAAGGCACAAGCTAAGTGTAACTCATCTAGGAGCATAAGAGACAAGAAGAAGAGGTTCTATAAATACATTAGGAGCAAGAGAATGCCAAAGGGAAGTGTAGGTCCTCTACTTAGCAGGGAAGGGGAGCTAATAGTGGATGGTGACATCAAGAAGGCTGAGGTGTTTAATACCTATTTTGCTTCAAAAAGAACAGGAGGACTTGTGGCACCTTAGAGACTAACACATTTATTTGAGCACAAGCTTTCGTGGGCTACAGCCCACTTCATCGGATGCATAGAATGGAACATATAGTAAGGAGATATATATATATACACACACATACAGAGAACATGAAAAGGTGGGAGTTTCATCTTCTCTGTATGTGTATCTAGATCTCCTTACTATATGTTCCATTCTATGCGTCTGATGAAGTGGGCTGTAGCCCACGAAAGCTTGTGCTCTAATAAATTTGTTAGTCTCTACCACAAGTCCTCCTGTTCTTTTTGCGGATACAAACTAACACGGCGGCTACTCTGAAACCTGTTATTTTGCTTCAGTCTTCACTACAAAGATTAATTGTGAGCAGATACTGAACACAATTAACATTAACAAGGGGGCAGGAACTCAAGCCAGAAGAAGGAAAGAACGGGTTAAAGAACATCTTGGTAGGTTAGATGTATTCAAGCCAGCAGGGCCTAATGAAATTCACCCCACACTACTTAAGGCACTAGCTGAAGCAAGTTCGGAAATGTTAGCAAATATCTTTGTGGCCCCAGAGGATTAGAGAGGGCAAACCTAGCGGAAGTCGAGGGGTTTGTGGGCGAGCGGGAGAGGACGCCCCAGTGAGGGGACAGGCCCTCCTCAGCACAGAGGCTCAGCTGGTCCGATCCGGCTGTTGTCTCTCTCCCCTCCCACCCCCCTTTTCGGGTCAGGAGCTTTCGTCTCCTCCCCACGAGGCAGGACACAAGTGTCTAGAGCAGCGATACTCCGACCTCAGGGGGTCTGGAGCCAAATTAACATTACCCAAAAGAGCCCCGGCCCTGGGAATTCATGGCTTCATTAACTACTTGGATACATAATTTTCACAGCAAGGTAGACTGACCAAGTAGTCTACAATTGGTTAATAACAGAGGGAAAGCATCCTGATTGGTTAGGAGCTGAGATCGGTTAATAATTAAATCTCACAGGGTTTTAATATCATGTGCTGCAAAGAGCCACTTGCAGTTTGAGTATCGCGGGTCCAGATGTATTGGGGGGGTCGGGGGGGGAATTGCTTGCCGCTGAAGGAGGATCAGAGACGGCCATGGCTGGAGACACCAGACAGGGGGGCCGGTGATCCTGTCTTAGCTGCCTGGCTGACTTGCTCAGGGTCAGACTGGTTGCCAGATTTGGGGGTTGTATGGGATTCCCCTCTCCCCCCCCCAGAGCAGATTGGCAGGGACCTCATGGGGTGGATTCTCCTTCCTCTGCAGCACGGGGCGCCAGTCGCCCGCTGGGATCGCCTGGGCAGATCACACCTGATCAACTCCCTGCCACGGGAGGAGCCTTGGGCACAGCGACCAACCCTGCGGCGGCCCCTCGGTCTCTGCCTAGGCAGTTTAGTCTCCGGAGGATTGAAATGCGTTAGTCGAACTGAAGTCTTTGGGTTCAATACAGGATGAACATTACTGGCCTGTAGCTGTACGGAGGGTCGGACTAGATGATCTAATGGCCCCTTCTGACGGGGTGTGATGCCGCACACGAGCGTCAGGCCACGCCGGGTCAGACCAATGGGCCATCGAGCCCAGCATCCTGTTTTCCGACAGTGGCCGGTGCCAGGTGCCCCAGAGGGAATGAACAGAACAGGGCAATTATCGAGTGATCCATCCCCTGTCATCCAGTCCCAGCGTCTGGCAGTCAGAGGCTACGGGACACCCAGAGAATGGGGTTGCATCCCCTGCCCATCTTGGCTAATGGCCACTGATGGACCTGTCCTCCATGAATGGATCTCATTCTTTTTTGAAGCCTGTTCTAGTTTTGGCTTTCACAACATCCCCCGGCAGTGAGTTCCACAGGTTGACTGTCCATCCATCACTGACACCCCCGTTCCCCATGTCTCTGCCTCCTCACCCCTCACCCTCAGAGCCCGGCACCCCGCAGCCGACCCCATGGGGAAGAGGGTGAGGGGTGAGCCCGGCACCCCCCATCCGCTTCTCCCCGTAACCCTCCTGCTCCCGAAGAAGCCACGACCCAGGGCACCCGGCAGCTGGCAGGATCCCTGCTAACAACCCCGGCAGAGCCCAAGTGGGGACCTGGGGAGGAAGCAGGTCTGGTGACCTTGAGGGAGCATGGTGGGGGAGGGGAAACTCAGCATGTGGCCCTCCCAGTCCTTCTCCTTTGCACCCTCCCTTGGCAAACAAATCTGTGTGTTTCTGCCAAGGGGGGGTGGATGGGTGGGAGGGCTTAACAGGGTTCTACACCTTGCCTTTCCCTGATGCTATGACAACAGGGTCATTCACAAGCCTCAGGAAGGTTTAACCTTTTCAGCACTGGGCATTTCTCAGCTTCCCCATCAGCTAGCTCATAGGCCTCTGTGTTTATCCCATTTGCACCCAGAGATCTGGGGAATATACTACAGATGGGGGAAACTGAGGCACAGAGCGGGGAAGCGACCTGACCAAGATCACACAGCCAGGGTGGTGGGAGTCAGAAATAGAATCCAGGTTCCTAATTCTGGCCCCCTGGGCATGAGCCACGACACACAATCCGTCCTTCCCAGAGCTGAAACAGAACCCAGGTCTCCTGATTCCCAGCTCTACTGCTGTCCCCTCCCAACATCGGGAAAGGAACCCAGGAGTCCTGACTCAAAGACCCCTGCTGCGACCCCTGCAGTGCGCTCTGCCCCCCAGGAAAGCTGGAGACAGTGTTACAAATCCCCCCCTCCCCGAATAAGCCCACAATGGAGAGTAGGAAAGACACAAAGGCAGCAAATGTGTGCCCTGGATACACAGTGGGTGCCACAAATGCCCCCCAAGGAGGATGGGGGTGGGGACTTGCTGGATGGACTGAACAGGTCCCTCCCACACTTCTGAGGACCTCGGGCCAAACTCTCCACCCACCCTGGGATCCTGCCTCCTCCAGCAGCTCCGGGCCCCTCTCAGCCATCTCTCCAGGACACCGCGTTCTGCCTCCTCTGATCACCCCTGACACCCACATCAGCCCTCCCCCTCTGCCAATGACCCCCTCCGCCTCCCAGCCCCGGGAAGCACCAGCTGGAATGCCAGGTATAGCCCAGCCCCCACCATTGCCTGCTGCCCCCTCCGCCCCACACAGAGAGCTGCCGTGGCCCCAGACCCCCACCCCTCCTCGCCATCTCTCCTGGCCCACCACTCTTCACTCCTCCACCCCCCATTTGCACAACCTCCTCTCACCTCTTTCAGTTCAATACCGGGAAGCGGCCTGAGCCCTGGGCCGGGGTCTGTTTGCATGACAGCAGCACCTAGGGGCCCCATTGTGCCAAGTGCTGCATGTAATAAGAGGCAGTCCCTGCCCCTAAGGGCTCACAGGCTGAATAGACAAGGGTGGGAGGGGAAACTGAGGCACAGAGCAGGGCTGTGACTTGCCCAGGGTCCCACAGCACGTCAGTGGCAGAGCTGGGAACAGAGCCCACTGAAGTCAACAGGAGAACCTCCTAATCACAGGGTTTCGGGCATCAGGGGGGCCAACACCTACCTCCTCCCCCCCAAATATTTCTTAGCCACGCTCCAGCTTTTATGTCATCTGAAATCTCAGTCACCAAGACCCAGTACACGCTGATCACAAACCCAGATGCAACTCAAACTGGAGGGAAACTGACCTTTTCCAAGCAAATTTCTGTTCACTACACGACTTTTTTGTTTTAACGTGATCTACCACGTGAAACATAAAAAGGAGAGTAAATACACATATAGCACAGCGACTAGCTCAGCAGGGTCCTGGCCCCTGACTGGGGCTCCTTGGTGATATGATAATACAAATAATAATAATAACAATACATTATATAGACAAACACCCACCCCTCGTATAAATTCAGATGAGGCTAAAAAGTACCGAAGTCTCAGGCAGTGAGTCTAATGGTTAGAGCAGGAGACTGGGACCCAAGACTCCTGGGCGCTAGTCCCGGCTCTGGGGTCTAGTGCTTAGAGCAGAGGGACTCAAGGAACCAGGACTCCTGGGTTCTTATCCCAACTCTGGGAGGAGAGTGTGTTTAGTGGTTAGAACAGGGGTGTCTTGGAACCAGGACTATTAGGTTCTACTCCCAGCTTTGCCACTAACCCACTGTCTCACCTCAGACAAGTCACTCCCGTCCCCCCGTGCCTCAGTTTCCCCCATCTGAAATGGGGATAACGATACTGACCCACCTCAGTAGGGATTTTCAGTCTTGACTCCCCAACACCCATGAAGCACTTTGAGATTCCTGAGTAGAAAATGCTGGAGAAGGGCCCAGCGTCACTCTTACACGGGGTGGAGAAAAACGGCTAAGAGTTCTTTTGGCTTCTCTTCCGAGGACAAGTGCAACTTCCCCTTGACAGCTAATGACCTGGGAGCTGCCAGGCAGCCGGGGTTCAGAGTGCAACCTCCATCCTCCCCCGCTGCCCCGCCTCATTCTGCTTCCTCGGCATTTCCTACACGTGGCCCGCAGTGACTCAGTACCTATGCAGGCAGATCCCCTTCTTTACCCTCCTACCTTGGGGGGGACCTGCTGCGCTCAGCCGCCACATACCTCACAGGCTGATAATCTGTGAACCGACCACAGGCCACAAAGTCCGGAGGGCCTGGCTCCATACAGGCGGAGGGAGGGGGTGTTGGAGTCAGGAAACAGGGGCGGTGTTGGGAGTGTGCAAAGATGAGGGAGGACCTGGAAAGGGTTTAAGGGCAGCGGGGGAATGGCAGAGTCCCTTAGGTGTTGTTTTATATAGAGACCCACCAAAATGAGGGTGAATCTGACAATTTGAGACTAGACCGAGGGCTTTGGTTCCAGGACCAGGCACAGATCAGATTTGCCAAGTGGGTGCTGAAGGCCCGGATTGTGGGAGCCGAGTGCTGGCCCTGAGCCGCTGTGAAAATCTGGCCCTACGTTCCCTTGTCGTTCCAATCTATCAGCCCTTCAGGGCCAGGATTGTCTCATAGCCTGTGTTTGTACAGCACCCAGCACAACGGGACTCTGGGTGCTACTGTCACACAAACAGCCACAAGACGTGTGTAAATGAACCTGACGAGGCGTGCGCCACGGGGAGGTCCCGTCTCCCTCCACTCACTGTAAATTTCCGCCCTCCCTGCCGCCTCAACGCTATCAGATCTGCGTACCCACTCGGATGTCACCCATCGCCGCTGCTAAAAATACCTGAGATGTCTACGGTGCTTTTCAGCCCAGAGGGCTTTGCGAATGAAGTGTCTGAGCCTCGCTTCACCCAGGCATTCTGAAATGCAGCAGCTTCTGGGGTGGAACACAGCGGCTGCTCAATGGTCACGCTGCCCCACAGTTTTAGGACAGGAAGGGAAGGAGAAGGCTGTACCCAAGTGAAACTGCAGGAGGAATTTAAGGAGGCAGAATGCAATTACAATTGGGCTGGACAGCAGGGCAACACCCCGGCCCAATAAGACCACTAATAATTGACCCTTTGTATGTTCAAAGCACTGTCTCATCCTCCTTTAGGGCACTTCAGCCAGTATCTTTACCCCCACTTTACAGATGGGGGAAACTGAGGCGGGGGGGGGAAAGAAGTGACTTGCCCAAGGCCATTCAGCAAGTTAGCGGCAGAACTAGGAACGGAACCCAGGCGTCCTGGCTGCCTGTCTCCTGCTCTAACCCCTAGTCGGCACTGCCTTTCCCCCGCTGAAAATAGAACCCAGGCGTCCTGGCTGCCTGTCCCCTGCTCTAACCCCTAATCGGCACTGCCTTCCCCAGCTGAAAATAGAACCCAGGCGTCCTGGCTGCCTGTCTCCTGCTCTAACCCCTAGTCGGCACTGCCTTCCCCAGCTGAAAATAGAACCCAGGCGTCCTGGCTACCAGGACAGCACCCAGCCCACCGGGGTCCCGGTCCGTGACGGGGGCTGCCAGTCGCTACCCACCGCAACTACCCTATTACACACCGGCCCCCAGAGCTGGGGCCAGACCCCCAGCCAGAGCCCCTTCCTGGAGGGGGGACAGACAGACAGGGACAGACCCCCGCCCGTGCCAGCGCAGGGTCCCCCCCGGTGCCCAGCCACCCCCTTAGCCCCCCACCCCGGAGCCTGGCAAGGGAGCCCCGGAGCGGGCAGGGGGCCGGATCCCAGCCGCCCCCCAGGCACGGAGCAAGCGGGGCGCGGCCGGCCCCGCGGGGCGGCCCCTTACCTAGGCGTGCGGGGGCAGCCCCAGCCCCGCGCCGGTCCCTCCGCCTCCGGCCGGCCGCATCCGTGCCCAGCGCCGCCGCGGCTGGCGGCAGGAAGCCGGAACACGGAAGAAAGCGGCAGCGGCTCTCTCGCCCCTAATCCCCTATCGCGGCTCGGCTCTGCCCCCCTGCTCCGTGGAGGACTCGGGACCGGGACCGGGACCGCGCGGTCCGGACGCGCCCGGTCCAGCCTTCCCAGGCAGGGTCCCGTTCTCGAACCGGGCGCTGCCCGGGCCGCTCGGGGAGGTCTCCGGCGGGGTGTGATAGCAGTTGGGAGGGGGACAGCGGCAGAGACTCCCCGAGAACCGGCCCCGACAGCCGCAGGTGGCACCGGCTCAGCAGAACCGACCCAAACCCACACCTGGGGCCGGCACCGGCTCAGCAGAACCGACCCAAACCCACACCTGGGGCCGGCACCGGCTCAGCAGAACCGACCCAAACAAACACCTGGGGGCGGCACCGGCTCAGCAGAACCGACCCAAACCCACACCTGACCTGGGCCCACACGGGATCGAGCGGGAACCCACCCAAACCCTGTCACCTGGGCCAGGACCAGCAACCAGGGCTGACCCCAACACACAGCCACTGGGGGCAGTACCAGCTCAACAGAATGGACCCCAAAACAGGCTGTCACCTGGGGTAACAAGGGTCGAACAGGTTTCAGAGGGGGTAGCCGTGTTAGTCTGTAAGAGCAAAAACAACACATGTAGTTGGGCATCTGATGAAGTGGGTTTTAGCCCAGGAAAGATTAGGCCCAAATAAATTTGTTAGTCTCTAAGGTGCCACAAGGGACAAACCGAACATCTTCTCAGTTGTTCCATATTAACTGACAGGACAAATTCAGCAAAGAGCATATTTGTGGCTAAACCCATCCACCACCTCCATCAGTTTGCGTGGCTGTCTTGATAGAGACCTTTTATTAGCATGAACGAACAAAGGGCCAGGAAGGCCCCTACAGGGCCGGTGACCACATGGGCACCACAAGCTTCAGTTGCATAAGATCGCCAGCAAGGGACATAGCCACAGAAGGGTTGGCTAGATCACATGAAGGACCTCGCTAGACATGAGCCGCGCTGGCACTCTATGTGCACAGAGGCTACGTCCCTTTTGGACTTGTCATGCTGGTCACCCTCATCATGGTGTCAGATTGTCTCACAATGAACGTAGCCTCCTAACACCCCTGTGGGGTAGGAATTGGGAAGGATCACACAAACACACACACACACACACCCCTCTGCCAATTTTACACAGTGGGAATTGAGGCTCAGCGATGTCAAGTGATGACCCCAAGGCCACAAAAAACCATTGCAGAGCCAGGAATCAACTCCCACTTTAGTGCTTTAACCACATAGTCCTCCATCCTCTTGCTTCTCCCACTGGCACAATAGTTCCAGTGTCAAAGTCCTGCAGGCTGATAGTGCTCAGCTGTTTAACTCTAGGGACTCCTAGCTGGAGAGTCCCCTGCTGATCTCAAAGACAGCAGAAAATTTCAAGTTTGGGGCCAAAAATCAAACTGACATAGTTGGGCCGAAAACCAAAACGTTTCTGTTTTGAAATGGTGCTGCGGTGCCCCAGGGGCATTGTTGTTTGGGTGCCTCATACTCCCGTTCACCTCTATAGGCTGGTCTCCCATGATGCATCATCATCTCTCCTCTTGGTGAGGGACAGCAGTGCATCATGGGAGATGAAATCCAGCCAGGAAGCAAAGCTGTCAGAGAATGGGAGTGTGGGGCACCTGAACTACAACTCCCATAAGACTTGGGGGCAGCCTTTCAGCATTGAAATATTTTGGATTTCGGCCAAAATATTTTGGATTCTGATCTTGTGCCAAAAAACTCAACATTTTCCATGGGAAGAAAGAACGTTTTTTATAGTGTTGAAAACCCAATTTTCTGCCAAAAAGCTCAGAAAATTGTCACCCTTATCTCAACAGCTACAGCAGCACAAAGTAAAGTGGAGAGAAGATTGGTTCCTCCAGGCAGACAGGACCCAAGCCCGTTGCGTTTCGGAGATCAGAGTTAATATCTTCAGCTATCTCCGGAAGGGAGTAGGAAAGCACACCAGGGCCACAGCTGCAAGTGTAGAGATACAGAGTCGAAGAAGCCACCGGAAGGAACTAAATTGCAGGGGCATAAAGGGGGATGGAGAATGAGGAATGTTGTTGATCCAATAGCTAAAACCAACCTCGGCTTCCAGCAGCTCTCCCTGTTCACCTGTCACTGGAAGGAAAAAAGTTGTACAAAATGTACATGAAATCTATATATTTTTCCCCATTTGCATCAACATTTTTCTTGGAACATATTTCAAGTTTTCGTCAAAATAAACAGAAAATGACCATTCTTTTTTTTATAACCCCCCCTTTTTAAAACAAAACCTCCCCCCTCCTACCTCCTCAGTGCGGATTTCAGAGCGGTTAGCACTCAGATATTGTGGAAAGAAAAAAATCCAGTCCATTTGCAATTGGAGCACCAGCAGAAAACTCCATGTGCTAAGCCCAATGGCAGAAGAATTTCCACTTCGGTGCATTGTGCCAAGTATTTTCTCTCCTCCCCCCCAGCACAGTTGTAGCAGTGGGGCCCCCGTTGAACCATCTGAAAATGCAATGCCACTGTTGAGGTTTCCAGATCATGTGCCAGCCAGTAGGGTCTTTCCTGGCCATATCAGATCAGTGAGAGAGCGGGTGGGACATGGTCTACACCGCACCGCTGGAGGCATGTCCGTGTTCTACAATCACACTCTTCTTTCCTGGCTGCCATGCAGAGAGCAAAGGCATGAAGCAGACATTCTCCCCCCTTGAGAAGGGGACCGGGCTGCCCTTGTGAGTTACCTGTGCTTGGGACAGAGGTGTCACTGCTAGCCCCCTTTGATCTCCTGGCCCTAACAGCAGCATTTCCCCACCCTGCCAAGGTCACCAGGGGAAATCAGCCTTCCTATTTCTAATCAGGAGAGCACCGCACTTGCTTGGACTTGGGTCACAGATCAGGGAACAAGAGCCGTGAGTAGCGAAGGGATCGGCCCTCCCAGACGCCTATAGCAATGCCCAGGTTCAGGGATATCAAGTGATTTATGCTACGAGCGATAAAGGGAGTGAGCCCGAAGCAGCCTGGGAAACGCACAGGTCTACAGGCCCCAGGGAGAAGATGCAGGTACCCCTGTGAGAAGACGCAGCAGCTCCCTCACAGGCAAAGGGATGGCCGGGCAGTTCTCAGGCAGGAAATTGAGGCAGAGAGCTGGGGTCTGTTCCAGACTCTGCCACATCCTGTTACTCGGAGCTAAATATAACTCTGACATCAGTGTTGGTGGGAAGCGGAAAGACACGACACTACACACCCAGGCCACTGGTGGGTAGAAATCCCCCGTGTCTGGGAGCAGGTCACGTCCCAGCTGTGCCTCTGTTTCCCCAGCAGACCACAATCCCCTGCCATCTTTAATATTGGTAAAGGGGCTTGAGATCCTTGGATGGAAGGTGCTGGAGAAGTCCAAAGACTATTACCCTCCTTAGCTCACTAAAGCGAAGACTGAACCCATTGACTGGACAGATTGGAAGAGGCATTCGTGCGTGTAATCACGGAGATCACCACCTGCCCTCCAGAGAGTTTGGTGCATCTCGGAAGAAGCAGGAGCAGCTCAGATTAACACCAGACTTCTTCTTTAGTTTCCCAGGAGACCTGTGAGATGCTCTACCACCCAGGTTCATTTACTGGGAGAAGGGTTCCCTGTGCCTGGAGTCTCAGCAGAGCCCACGGACTGAGTTGGCAAAGGGACTGGACCTCCTTCTCCCTGCCTGCACTGGGCTGGGCTGAGGACCAGGGAGGTCTGTACTCTGCCTAAAGGCGGCTTCAGGCCAGCATCCCGCGGCACCAACACTACGTTGGTCATATTGCAGCTGGAAGGGAAGCCACCCAAGGAGTCACATGGGGGAGGGGGAAGAGAGGGACCAGCTTTGTAAGAATCCTAAGAGCAAACCCTCAGACAAAGACTCCCGCAGCCCAGACATTCTAGAAAACAATGTTTATTAACGAGTCCTCCCATTTCGCTCCCACAGCCAGGCTGGGGGCCGGGCTTGGATGCTTTGCAAAGTTCAGTTCAATAGCACAGACGAAGGAGCTGTCCACAGGCAGCCGTTAACACCCACGCCATAGGCAGTATTGTCACTGCTACTGCACGGCCCCAGTCCACACAACTCTGAGGCCAAAGCGATCAGAAAAAAAAAAATAGGGGCCCTGGTCCAATAACAATTTAAATGGCCGTGTTGACAATGCTAGGACAAAGCATTTCATACAGCAGGCCTGTAGATTTATGCCATCCACAGCCCTGATTCAGCTAGGCACAAGTCCACTCACATCAGTGGTATTAGGCCAATATACAGCAGGGTTAAAATCTACCTCCACATCTTCAATTCCCCATCGCTACCCAGCCCCTGCAAACAGCAGCGAAGAGGAGAGATTGGCTGCCACTTGACTACACTGTGAAGGCTATTTTGCTAACATCCCTTCGTGCTAACGCAGGGCTGGGTTTGGTTTCAGACTCAGTGGAAAATCAGTGGCACTCGGAGGCAGGGAACTCAGCTCTTGGGTGGGGCAGGGTGCCTGCCATTGCTCTTAGGAAGGCATTGGGCTGTAGTTCTGTGCCGGATTGAAGCATAGATGAGAGAGAAGCAGGAGGTTCTCCCCTGGGGAGGACAGGCAGGGGCTGCCCATCTGAGAAAAATAACCATGTTAGTCAAGCTCTGTACGGTTGGGCCCCATCTGAAAGAACAGAGCTGTTAGCTAAAGCCAAGCTCGTTTTCTTTTCCCCCCTCCTCTGTAAAATGTTTCCAACAAAAACAAGATTCGTCTTCAAATATTTTCAGGAGTTAATTGAAGACTCCAGAATCTTTCACAGTTTAACAAGAACAGATGCCCCCTTCCTCCCCCAAGAAATTTTCTGTTTTGCAAAAAAAAAAAAAAAAAAAGACCATTTTCCATCAGCAAAAATGTCTCCATAGAAAACGCCCATCCTGCTCTAGGGTTAACCGCGCACTCAAGCCACGAAGGGGACGTCGACACAGCAGCTGGGAGATCGAACACCCGGC